TACAAGAACATGATCTCATACATCACAATATATCATTCATCATTCATCACAACTTCTGGCCATATCACATCACATGACAATTGCTGCAAAAACAAGTTAGACGTCCTCTAATTGTTGTTGCATCTTTTACGTGGCTGCAAATGGGTTCTAGCAAGAACGTTTTCTTACCTACGAATAACCACAACGTGATCTTATCAACTTCTATTTACCCTTCATAAGGACCCTTTTCATCGAATCTGCTCCAACTAAAGTGGGAGAGACAGACACCCGCCAGCCACCTTATGCAACTAGTGCATGTCAGTCGGTGGAACCGGTCTCACGTAAGCGTACGTGTAAGGTTGGTCCGGGCCGCTTCATCCCACAATACCGCTGAAGCAAGATAAGACTAGTAGCGGCAAGCAAGTTGAAAAGATCCACGCCCACAACAAAATTGTGTTCTACTCGTGCAAAGAGAACTACGCATAGACCTAGCTCATGATGCCACTATTGGGGAACGTTGCAGAAAATTAAAATTTTTCCTACGGTTTCACCAAGATCCATCTATGAGTTCATCTAAGCAACGAGTCAAGGGAGAGAGTTTGCATCTACATACCACTTGTAGATCGAGTGCGGAAGCTTTCAAGGGGATGGTGATGAGGGAGTCGTACTCGCCGTGATTCGGATCACCGATGACCAAGTGCTGAACGGACAGCACCTCCGCGTTCAACACATGTACGGTACGGGCGACGTCTCCTCCGTCTTGATCCAGCAAGGAAGAAGGAGAGGTTGAGGAAGACAGCTCCAACGGCAGCACGACGGCCTGGTGTTGTTGGTGCAGCAGTACTCCGACAGGGCTTCGCCAAGCACGTACGGAGGAGGAGAGGTGTTGGGGAGGGGAGGGGCTGCGCCCTTGGCTTGTGGTGTGGCTGCCCTCCCCTCACCCCTCTATTTATAGGGGAAGGCGCAAGGGGGCCGGCCCTCTAGGGGAAACCCTAGAAGGGGGCGGCGGCCAAAGGGAGAGGGGAAAGAGGGGAGGCTTGCCCCCCAAGCTAGGGGGGCGCCCCCTTTAGGGTTTCCCCTTCCCATGCCCTAGCCGCATGGGCCTAGGTGGGGAGGCGCGCCCAGCCCACCAGGGGCTGGCTCCCTCTCCCACACAGCCCACGTGGCCCCCCGGGAGGGGTGGCCCCTCCCGGTGGACCCCCGGAACCCTTCCGGTGGCCCCAGTACAATACCGGTATGCCCCCGAAACTTTCCGGAGTCCGTTTAACAACTTTCCATATATAAATCTTTACCTCCGGACCATTCCGGAACTCCTCGTGACGTCCGGGATCTCATCCGGGACTCCGAACAACATTCGATAATCACATACAAGTCTTCCTAATAACCCAAGCGTCACCGAACCTTAAGTGTGTAGACCCTACGGGTTCGGGAGACATGCAGACATGACCGAGATGCTCTCAGGTCAATAACCAATAGCGGGATCTGGATACCCATGTTGGCTCCCACATGCTCCTCGATGTTGTCATCGGATGAACCACGATGTCAAGGGTTCAAGCAACCCCGTATACTATTCCCTTTGTCAGACGGTATGTTACTTGCCCCAGACTCGATCGTCGGTATCCCAATACCTCGTTCAGTCTCGTTACCGGCAAGTCACTTTACTCGTACCGTAATGCATGATCCTGTGACCAGACACTTGGCCACCTTGAGCTCATTATGATGATGCACTACCGAGTGGGCCCAGTGATACCTCTTCGTAACACGGAGTGACAAATCCCAGTCTCGATCCGTGTCAACCCAACAGACACTTTCAGAGATACCTGTAATGCACCTTTATAGTCACCCAGTTACGTTGTGACGTTTGGTACACCCAAAGCACTCCTACGGTATCCGGGAGTTACACGATCTCATGGTCTAAGGAAGAGATACTTGACATTGGAAAAGCTCTAGCAAACGAACTAACCGACCTTTGTGCTATGCTTAGGATTGGGTCTTGTCCATCACATCATTCTCCTAATGATGTGATCCCGTTATCAACGACATCCAATGTCCATAGCCAGGAAACCATGACTATCTATTGATCACAATGAGCCAGTCAACTAGAGGCTCACTAGGGACATATTGAGGTCTATGTATTCACACGTGTATTATGATTTCCGGATAATACAGTTATAGCATGAATAAAAGACAACTATCATGAACAAAGAAATATAATAATAATCCTTTTATTATTGCCTCTAGGGCATATTTCCAACACCCCTCCCCCTTATATAAAGGAGTGGAGGAGGGGGGAGGGCCGGCCCTCCTATGGCGCGCCCTGGAGGAGTCCTACTCCCACCGGGAGTAGGATTCCCCCTCTTCCAAGTAGTAGGAGTAGGAGTCAAGGAAAGGGAAAAGAGAAGAGAAGGAAGGAGAGGGCGCAGCCCCTCCCCCTAGTCCAATTCGGACTAGGCCTTGGGGGGCGCAGCCTCCCCTCTCTCTTTCCCCTAAAGCCCAATAAGGCCCGTATACTCCCGGCGAATTCCCGTAACTCTCGGGTACTCCGATAAATACCCGAATCACTCGGAACCTTTCCGATGTCCGAACATAGTCATCCAATATATCGATCTTTACGTCTCAACCATTTCGAGACTCCTCGTCATATCCCCGATCTCATCCGGGACTCCAAACTACCTTCGGTACATCAAAACACATAACTCATAATATAAATTATCACCGAACGTTAAGCGTGCGGACCCTACGGGTTCGAGAACTATGTAGACATGACCGAGACACGTCTCCGGCCAATAACCAATAGCGAAACCTGGATGCTCATATTGGCTCCTACATATTCTACGAAGATCTTTATCGGTCAAACCGCATAACAACATACGTTGTTCCCTTTGTCATCGGTATGTTACTTGCCCGAGATTCGATCGTCGGTATCTCAATACCTAGTTCAATCTCGTTACCGACAAGTCTCTTTACTCGTTCCGTAATGCATCATCCCGCAACTAACTCATTAGTCACATTGCTTGCAAGGCTTATAGTGATGTGCACTACCGAGAGGGCCCAAAGATACCTCTCCGACAATCGGAGTGACAAATCCTAATCTCAAAATATGCCAACTCAACAAGTACCTTCGGAGACACCTGTAGAGCACCTTTATAATCACCCAGTTACGTTGTGATGTTTGGTAGCACACAAAGTGTTCCTCCGATAAACGGGAGTTGCATAATCTCATAGTCATAGGAACATGTATAAGTCATGAAGAAAGCAATAGCAACATACTAAACGATCAAGTGCTAAGCTAACGGAATGGGTCAAGTCAATCACATCATTCTCTAATGATGTGATCCCGTTAATCAAATGACAACTCATGTTTATGGCTAGGAAACTTAACCATTTTTGATTCAACGAGCTAGTCAAGTAGAGGCATACTAGTGACACTATGTTTGTCTATGTATTCACACATGTATTATGTTTTCGGTTAATACAATTCTAGCATGAATAATAAACATTTATCATGAAATAAGGAAATAAATAATAACTTTATTATTGCCTCTAGGGCATATTTCCTTCATCATCCGGCCCCGGGTCGCTATATTTTATGAATGGCGCTACCAATCGAGCCTATGAGCCTTCATATTTGGAGGATGCGGGTTGGAGCCCGCTTCATCCGCCAACTGCTCGCACGGGAGGGAGGTTTGACTTCTCTCCTCATCCTCCCATGTGGCCCATCTCTTCTCCCTGCCCCTGCCAATGGCACACACGTTTAAATGCCCATGGCATCAGAAAATATGCCAATTAATTGAGGTTGTCGTGTTCCCAACTTTCAACGCCTTCACCGGCCACATTTTCCCACCGCCCACGGTCGTTCTTGTCATATTTTCCGGTCGTCGACCGCTATAGGAAAGGTCATCCTAGCCCCATGTTGGCACAGAGCTCCTCCTCCTCTTCTTCCTCTCTACTTCCCTCTCCACTTTTATCATATCGCTTCCCCTTTTGCCAGACTAGCTTCCACTCTCGGAGGAGGAGGAACAACCGCTCGACGAGGAAGAAGTCAAAAAATGAGACCAACCCAAGGGCTAACCCTCGTTGGCAATTTTTTATAGGAGAAACTCCGCGAGCACCACGCGTCCAAGCCGGGACTTGAACTCGGGTGGGTTGGCAGCAACCTCAGCTGCCCAGCCAACGGGTCGACGCCCCGTCCTCGACGAGGAAGAAGTCATGATGCCATTGTTCTGAATTATACTAAGCATTAGGTGGGACATCCGATGATTTTGTACCATCCAACTTAATATAATTTTGAATAACAAGGCCATTGGTGCTCTCGCCGCTAAATGGTCCTAGCTGTTTGGCCCTCGGAGGAGGACGCATGGCGTGCGTGCGTGCTTATTTAGCATACGCAACAAGAAATTAAAACAAAAAATAAAATTAGCTATTAATATTAGTTGCGTCACAACTGTTCACAGATGAATTTATCTATTTGATCTTTTCAAATTAAAATTTTGGTTCACAAGTTCACAAGGCAGACCAAAAAAGCCCTGAACACCAGTACACCACCCGCCCACACCCACGACCGCCAGTCCACCGCGGTCCACGGCATCCCACGCCAGTCCCCATTCGTTCAGCCTGCTCGCCTCGTGTCCGCCGACAAAACCCTAGCCGGTCTCCGCCGCCATGGACGCCGCCGCAGGTGAAGGAGGAGGAGGATTTGCGAACCACGCCGCCGAAATGGAGGAGCACTTCAGCAATCTGGCACTGGCGGTCCTGTCCGCGCAGGACCGCATCGATTCCATCGTCCCCTACCTCATCTCCCTCCTGCCCCACCCTTCGTCCCCGCGCCCGACGCCGACGACTCCTCCGACTCCGACGACGACCACTTCTCCCTCACCTCCTCTGAGGACGAGGCCGACGACCGGCCCGCTGCCGTTCCGGCGGCGCAGGACGATGACGGCCAGGACCACATCAGCCGCCTCCCGGACGACCTGCTCTCCAACATCATCTCCCGCCTCCCCACCAACGAAGCCGCGCGCACCATGGTGCTCTCCACCCGCTGGCGCTGCGTCTGGGCGGCGACCCCGCTCCTCGTCGACGACGCTCACCTCCGGGCCGCCGACGGGCTCTGCGAGTTCCGCGCCGTCCGCGCCGTCTCCCGCCGCGTGGCCGCTCACCCGGGCCCCGTCGTCGCCGCGCGCGTCACCCGCCTCTCCTTCGACCAGCAGGAGTACGCGCTTCAGCAGCTGATTGCCAACCTTGCCGCGAGGAACATCCAGGACCTCATCCTCTTCAACCGCCCCTGGCCGCTCGACCTGCCGCTCCCCGACGATATCCTCAGCTGCGCCTCCCTCACCCGCCTCTACATCGGTCTCTGGCGATGGCGCTTCCCAGACACGACCGCCAACTCGCCTGCCTTCCCCAACCTTCAGGAGCTCGGCCTTTTCCACACCATCATCAAGGACACGGAAGTCGATGCCTTGCTCGCGCATTGCCCCAAGCTGAAGATCCTCTCCTTTGCCATGGCGTACAGCTTCCCTTCTTGCCTCCGCATCAGGTCCCGCAGCCTCCGTATCGTGGTCGAATGGTTATGCAGCTTCGATGAAGTCATCGTTGAGGATGCACCCTGCCTGGAGCGCCTGTTCTTCGAAAGCTTTGCCGACCGGAGTCCCGTCAAGATTGTCCACGCACCCCGGCTGGAGGTGCTCGGTTTCTTAGACCTCCAGCTCCACGTGCTCGAGATTGGCGGCATTGTGATCAGGGTAACTGCGTATTGTAACTTATGTGATCTGCACTTTAACATTCACTGCGGTATTGTGCTACCAAACAGATTTCTCATGTTGTTTAATTTTCCTCAATGGCAGGCTGGGATGAATGTGAGAGCCAGTGCCATGCTGCCAAGTTTGAAGATACTGGCTGTCAAGGTGCGGTTTTCGCATGCAGCGGAGGCTAAGAGCATCTCCAACAGTCGCCCCGAACGACGCGCGCGCGCGATAAACGCAGCTTTTAGCGCGCGCGGGGCAGTTTGCCGCGCTCCAGCGGCCGCGGGGAAATAAGCGCGCGCGGGAACCGTTTGTGCGCGCGCGTGAAAAGGCGCCAGCTCGCACGCAAGATTTGGCGCGCCGCTTTGCGCGCGCCTATAAAAGCTGCGCGCGCCACGCGCCTTCTCCACACACCTCTCTTTCCCTCTCCCTCTCCCTCTCTGCCACGCGCCGCTCCAGCGCCCCGCCACCGACGCGCCGCCGCGCCGCCGAGGAGCGTCCGGCTACCGCGGCGTCCGCCTGCGGCCCAACGGCAGCTACACCGCGGAGATACGCTCCGGCGAACTCCGGCTCGCCCTCGGCACGTACGGGACGGCGCGACAGGCCGCCCGCGCGTACGACGCGGCGGCGTGGCGCCTAGGCCGGCCGCGCGGCCAGATGAACTTCCAAGATGTGTACACGCTCGAGCAAGCGCTCAACCTCGCCCCTCTGCCTCGTCTGAACACGGCGGAAGACCGTGCGGAGCACGCCGAGCGGCAACGCCGCCTCCTCGTCGCCCAGGAGGACGAGAGGGTCACGGCGGACTGGCGCCAGCGCCACCCGGAGGACGTCGCCTACGAGCAAGCCTACTGGGCAAGGCGCCGCGAGGAGGACACGCAAAGGCGCCGCGCGTCGCGGTTGGACAGGCGTCGGCCGAAGGCGTTGGCGAATGCGCAGTCCGACCTCGTTGCAGCAGGTGGGCGGTCGTTCTTCACGCCGAACGATGAGCGGTGGCTGGACATCTGGCTATCTACCTCGAACGACACCGCCGAGGATGATAGTGATGATAGCGACTTAGAGTAGTTTTTTTTTGTTAATGCAATCTATGTTTATCGTTTGTCGTTTTTATTTTATGCAATCTATGTTTCGGATGTAAAATACCTTTGTATCGTTTAATTTATGTAATCTATCTAGTTTTTTTTTAAAATTTCAACTTTTAATAAAATGCATACATTTCTAGTCGCGCGCGCTGCATTTTAACGCGCTGCTGGAGCGGCGCGCGCGCGCTGCATTTCAGCGTGGCTGCTGGAGCCAGCGCAGGCGGACGCGCAAAACCAACCGCAGCGCGCGCGCGAAAAGGTTTTTTGCGCGCGGCGCTATAGCGCGGCTGTTGGAGATGCTCTAAGATGCTGCACACTCTACTCAGATGCTTTCCTCGCCTTCAGACGCTTCATGTCATGGTAGTATCCGCGTCATATTGATATCTGTTCATCCCTTATACTTGGTTATGGATTGCGAGTTGCGACTCAAGACGATAATATGCATGGATGGATATCACTATCAGCTTATTCCAGTACTGCTTGTTTATTGCCGTATATTGCACATTGATAATCTAGATATCTGTTCTAGCACTTCTAGTTGTACTTTGGTGCAATTTGAGGATTGATTTGCTAACCGCTGACATTGTTTTCTTGGCTCAGTTCCAGTCCATTGGATCCAGGTCACCTGATAGTGTTGATCGTGCTGACTTCTGGCAGTCCATGGGCACATGCGATTGCCTTGAATCTCATCTGGAGACGCTTGTCCTCCACGGCTTCCAGGGCCTTGAATGTGAGCAGCTGTTCGTCAGTTACATACTGGAGAAGGGGAAGGTGCTTAAGACCCTGAGCGTTGTTTATGTTGACAGTGAGGATGTAGGAGTAGAGGAAGGCCCCATCTCAGGTTCTGTTGATGAGAGCAATGTGTCATCTGGTGGAAGAAGTAGCAGTGATGATGTGGTAATGGAGGGAGGCATGATGTCAGGTTCTGTTGATGAGGGCGATATATCATCAGGTGGAAGCAGTAGCAGTGATGATGTGGTAATGGAGGGAGGTCCGATGTCAGGTTCCATTGGTGAGGGCAGTGCGCCATCAGGTGGAAGCAGTGGCAATGATATGATTTATTTTTGTCCGTCCGCCTCTTGCTGGAGCTTTCAGAACGCCATTGACTTGTCAGTGGAGGATCCTTTCTGCGTGTTGTTGAGGCAGGCCCGGATCACTTCTGCTGTTGCGGCACGAGACGGTGTGCGAATTTCTGTTTTTGATGATGGTGCTTATGATGGCCGTATTTTGACGCTTCTCTAGGATGTCGTAGTTACTTGTTTCGTCGTCATTTTGTGGTGAACCGAGAAGGTCGACTGAACCCATCAAGGCCTGGAAGCTAGTTTCACTAGTTTGTTGCACTTTCTGGAGTTCTCTGCTGGGGGGACTAGTAGGATTCTGAACTGTGGAAGCACCCTGGCTGCATATTGTTTGAGTCTCTACTTTTGGCCTGTATAAAAGTACCTATCAGATGCACAATCTATCCCTACTGATATCCTGATGGCATTCCACGTTTTTTCCTTTGCTGCTAAGTTGATAGCTCTGCCTAGTTCCTGGAATGCAAACTGGTTTACTAACCCGATATTATTCATCTGCGCGATGAACCATACAAATGAGGTCGTTTGTTGCAGATTTGGACGCTATGGTCGGAAAAATAGTAAATAAGTTGGTGAACATTTTAAGGTACCACGAGTGTTGTGTGGTGCTGTCACTTGCGTGTACCCTCGAACCTATGTTAGGTCTGAACATGAATGAAAACTGGAGTAGTTTTGATCACTCTGGCTAATCAAAGACAAGGATACAGTCCGAGTGGGAAATGTGAATTGTTTGAAAATACAGTTTGGGTGCCCAGGCACGTTGGCTACTTGCCCAGGTCCTCCTCCGCTCAGGATTCAGGCAGGAGCAGCAACATAGCTGAGCTGCATTCGCCAACTGGAACTACGTTTCCAGCGTTGCGCCCAGTCGTCGACAGCCCCTGGTGGTGCCATCACCAGGCTCGATTCGCTGTCCCCTCAGCGTCTGTGACCAGGTCGCGACAGTGGCAGGGATCAGGCGCATATTCTGCAAAAATATGCTCAAGTGATCATAGGGGTATCCCAAACAGAACATATCTGGTGGTTCTGGTTGGAAGTTTTCAGGTTTTCATAAAAATTCATTCAGTGACTCATGTTTTATGCGCGGCAATTGCACCAAGTCTGTTAGAACAAGCAGCACGAGCAGTATTATTTTACAGAACTGTTGTTAAGTAATGATGGGGTCTTCATTTTCAACATTACAGAACATTTCACATTTTCCAGTCGGGTGAACACAGCCACCCATGCATACAGCAGTTGTTCGGCATTTCTCCTCACACAACGGGGGAATCTATGGTGAAGGCGGGAGGAAGAGGCTAAGCATCACCTAGGCGCTCTTGAGTTCACACACTATTTACGAGGTTTTCTCCATAAGCTGGATGGGCGCCAATATGTTCTGTTTGCTCGTCTCCACGATGCAACCATTCATCACCATCTCTTCAAGCATGAAGTGGACTTTCTCCAGATGGAACATGATGTCAAGCTCACACTGGCACGAACGGACGTAGCATTAGCCTCAATAATTATGTGAGTGTATCTTCACAATACTGAATCATTGGGGTACTTGAGCTTACCACGTTGCCAAAGTGACGGTCCATGGTTTCCACGAGAAGATGTATGAATTCAAGGATGGCTAACTCATTCTGTCAAACAGGATGCAACTAAGATATTGTCAGCAGACTCGAGGTAGAGATACATAGGCAGAGCTGCCATCATTCAGTAGTGTTATTATCACAGATGCAGTAGAAATAACACCAATGAAGATGATATCTTTTCATGTAATTTGTTTGCACCTTTCAGTTCAAACATGCAATAGTTATCACAACCAAATTGGGCCTTCAAAGGATAATTCAATAGCAATACCATGGAATTACTGAAGAAAGATTACGCTAATTCAGATATCTGTACCAATGTGCAAATTTTACACTAACAGGTCTACAACGATGCAGTTCAACAACCAGTATATGGCTGTCTACTTGTTTGGAACTAAGAGTGAGTTACTAGTACTAAAATCTTTTACAATACTTTGCGCACCAAGGGTGTGAGTGGTTGACGTGTATGCGCTTGGGCTGCCATACAGAGTTAGTGCAGAATCTTTCACTTTGTTTTTAATTGTTAGGTTGGGTGTAGCAATAAACAAACCAGGCTCAGCTCATGCAAACAATTGATCTGGGATAGGCTGAGGATTGACGAACATGAGATTTCTCCATTTCTACTCATGCAGGTTGCTATGGAGTGGTTATTGCATATAATTAGGTCCATTTGTATAACAAAGTGGATTAGATTAACATAAAGCTATGGAAATAAATTAAGAAAAAATTAAAGCCATAAAGACATATTCATTTTGCTAACATATATTGTAAATATACATGTGGTAAAAAACATTATAATACAACCAACGAAATAGCATCTCTCCAAACACAGACTTCCCACATACAGGAACCAAACAACATCTCCTGCATGGCCTCGCCCTGTTTAAACTAATCCTCATTACCCTTTGGCAGCAAATCCTAAAATCAGCCATCCAAACCACACCTTAAATGTACAATTTTGAGGTAGCAACATTAGGCAAGGCAAGAAAAGACCAGGGGATGTTGAATGGTGCACTGAGATCCCAGTAGTCCACAAATTTAATCCTACCATGAATCAGAGCTACAGACGGAAATAAATTTATCTGGACAGAGTTCACAGTATATTAGTACATTTAGCTCCTTCGCGCTTATTTACATTTCAGCATCCACGCTGTTTTCATCTTAAGAGAGTGTGTCATAATTTCTTCCCTTTGTTGTAATTAGAATCAGTTGGGTGTTCTTTTTTCTTTTGTCGTGGTGGTTCTGAGTTATGCGGACACACAGGATCCAATCGAGTTCTACGGGCACCATATAGAAACCTGCCATGTTCTAAGGCATCAACTTAAGCAATCCTAGGTTGAACATTCATGTAGGGTGAACGGGCAATTATTCTAGTGTATCTCTCGTTCCAGTGATTTCATTTCCTCAGGCTCAAGGCTTTTGCACCTAGCCCGCAGCATGACGTTTCCTATTTCCGAAATAATACCTCTGCCCTTCAAGATTTATAATTTCCTACCAAAGATATTTTGATACATGGAGGATGGTAAGGACCAAGCAAGTGCAATTTTGCACTAATACAAGTCTACAAAATGCTTCTAATCATCACGAGTGTCTTAGATTTTTGTTTGGGATTAAATGTGATCTCAGGAAGTGTCTCCCAATTGATAAGGCATTGAACAGCGTTCTGATTTTGTGGAGGAACTTTGTAGAACATTCTTGGGGAAATGCACAATCGGGTGGCTTTACAAACACAAGCTCGTAATGAAGGACATGATCTTGCTCGAGAAGGAAATGAAACTATTCAGCAAGCTAGCAAATGGAACCCTCAACTAGCCACAGCTTGTGAAGTATGGAGGGCAATTTCCAGAAACTGGAAGGCGCCTGTATTTCGATACATAAGAAAAAAAAAGGAAATGTCTCAAATGTGCTAACAATGACATAAAACATATGCTATTGGCTTGATCATCAAGAGCTCTTGCATAAAAAGGGTGTCCAAAGTATACTTCATAAGTGCAGGGAGCAAGTAAATCAGATGACAAGGGAAGCATTTAACAGAGCACAGTGATGGGCTCCACCAAGAATCAAGTAGGAGTGTAATTTCGAGGACCAAAGTTGTTATTGAATTTCCTTGCCATTTGTCCTGGTCGTAGCAATTAGCTTCTTTGGTCAATTTGCTGGGAGTTGTCTTGTTAATTAGTTATACTGATCTGATTGTACCTATTGGTAGCCCGCCTAAGTTCACTTGTATTATGCAGTACTTTCGTTAAGTACACGGCATGTACCCAAATATACTTATTTCAATTAGCAAAGATTGCAAATGGAAAAAACAGAGAAGAAATAACAGTAGAATCACCCATCACCCTATCATGTGCATATTAAGCTCCCTTTAGCACAGCCAAATGATTAGCGCACAACATATTCTCCTGAATCGACTGCATCTAGTTTAATTAGCTAGGAGTATCTAATTGGTGTGACCGTGATTATACAATAATAATACAGCTATGGACACGGGATACAATAGAGCTGGCGGAATGCGCACCTCATCGTTGTCGACGCCGACGAGGAAGAAGAGGGAGGCGTAGCGCCGGTAGACGACCTTGTAGTTCCGGTGCTCCACGAAAGAGCACTGCATTGGCACAGAGTTCCCGTGAGACGGGCGTGAAAATCGAGGTCAACAAATCAAACCCATCCTGATCCAGATCCAGAGGAACATCGTTCTTGATTCGGGTTCAGGACGAAGCTAGGGTTCTTGGATCCAGGAAAAAGCTACAGGTGTTGGATTCAGCTGGTGGGAGGATGGGAGGGGGGAGCAGTACCTGCTGGTCGGTGCGGGCGAGGCACTTGCGGACGATCTCGCCCTCGAGGGCGCGGCGCTCGTCGAGGGAGAGGTGCTCGTAGTACTGCGCCAGCCGCGTCTGCCCCTGCTTGTTCACCAGCAGCACGAACCGGATCCCCATCTCTCCGCCCTCCCCTTCCGATCGCTCCCCTTCCGAGGCTTCTCTGTATCGTTCCGTCCGAGGCTTCGTCTACGGTTCCGCCTGTTCCTATCGCCTCCTCCTCTGTTGAGGTTCTTTTTGTGGAAGAGGGGTTCTGTTTAGGCTATTTATTTATTTTTGAAAAAAGAAATCTGCAAAGATTGTTGTCTCTTTAAAAAAAAAAAATTACATTCAAATCACGAATCAGTACAAAGTAGTTGATCCTTACAAGCACACTGAAACGCAAACACAAAGGACCATGAACACCTAGAGTACCCTAAGACAACCATAACACAAGAAGATCTCCGGAGCCCTGTGTCATCATCCCTGAATCTTGAGAGAAGACCCCTGCAGCAGAAGGATCTGCAACCAGTCGCAAACAGGTCATCATCTTTGACCACGGTACAATTCCCGCCACGCTGCTTCCTCCTTTCTTGACACCAGCGCTGAGAGGGCATGGACATCAATCCAACACACCTGCAACAGCCGTCGCCATCCTTGGCTTTGAGTACCGCGAAAAGTGTCCCTTCCGGGAGGAAGAGAACTCAAGTCATCCGACCGGTCCAGCACCGCGGCCGGGCCATCCGCCCGGACAAAGCAGGATCTCCCACCAGCATCAACGCAGAGGAAGGAGAAGAACAACAGCAGCAAATCATACCAACAAGGAAGAAGAAAGGTCTTCGTCTCCCTGCCTCCATCGCCCATCTGAGGATCCAAACGGCCAGTGCCGATGGACCTCCAACCACCATAGCCCGCGACCTCGACGAGATCCGGGGATCCCCAACACCGCTAGCTCCTAGACGAGGCAAAAGCCTCGCCTGACCGCGAACGGAGCCCGGAGGAACTTATTCCGACGCAACACCACCACAACGGCCTCGACAACGTCTCCCTCAACCCTAACCCTACCACACACCCACCTGGCGAACAGACCCGAGGTTCCCCCTCCCTCCCCCCGCCGGAGCGGTCGACAGAGAGAGAGGGAACCGGCGGCGTCACCTGCGGCGCGCAAGGGATCCCTCGCCTCCTTGATCGCCTAGATCCTACTTTTCCGGGCGCGAGGCGTGCTTACTTTGTTCTATGTGGACCTCCGCACGGCACGACGTTGATGGTGCGTTCCATACGTACTGTAAAGATTGTTGTCGCAACATGAATAGGTTTGGTATAAATGATTCGTGACGGCCGACAGGCTAGGATTTGGGCCGGTTTCGCCTCGCACGTCACCCACGTCGCACTCGCCATGTAGGTGTGGGGTCTGTGCCACCGCTTACTCTCTTAGAGCAACTCCAACGGGCCGACTCAAACGAACGGCGCTTTTGTCCGCTTTTTGTCCGTTTGGGTCGGTCGTCCGTCCGTCGTCCGCCCTCTTTTAGATTTGGGTCGGCAGCGCGCCCAACGCGCCGACCCATTTCATGACCGCGCGCGCTTTAGATCATGCCAGCGG